ATGTGCTTATCATAATTATGACGGTGTTACAATTATTTTAATTATTATAACTCTTCTGAGAGCATGGAGTACTTTGTGATGCTTGTCTCCTGTTTGCGGCTATGTGATGCATTATAATTTATTATTTATTTAGTCAAAGTATTTCTGTATCACCTCCCAGCCCAAGGCAATGAACAAAAACCAACAACCACCAATTAGAACAATACAGAGATTTTAAAAATTAACAACACATTAACATGATTTTTAAAAACTCCTTAGAAATCCTAGAATCCCATTTTAAAACAGTAAAATCAGCATTTTCAAACTTTAAATGCCATGTGAAACAGCCTTCAATGTGGAGTCCAAGTCAGAATGAATCCAAGCAATTTTCTCCACTAATTTAGCAAATTCACCACAATGCTTCTCTGAAGGCTCTCCCTCAGTAGTCTGAGGTCTTGGACATAATAACCCTTTAACTACCCAGAACAGCAGTTCTGGATGAAATTGAGCTGATGAAAACTAAGAAGCCCATGCTCTGTACCCAAGTAAAAGATGCTTGGTAGTGGCTGCGGAGCTTATCGCACTGCTAAATAAAATGTCTCACCTCTCCCGAATTCAGTTTTAATTCAGGCAATATCGGGATATGATCTCAGGGATTTTCCCACCAAATCCGCTGCCCACGTCCAGCCCGATCCAGCCCAGGTCCCAGGAGCACTCCGATGGCCATTTGTTAAAGTCAGAAAACTCCCAGTTTTAAAAAGAGGCATGCTGAGTGCCCCTAGGACCCGATCTCAACCTGGCCTGGATCTGGGCGGCGGATTTGGTGGCAAAATCCCTGCGATCGTATCTGGATGCTGCCCAAATTAAAATTGAATTTGGGAGAGGTAAGACATTTTATTTTAGCAGTGAGATAAGCTCCTTAGTCAATTACTGGGTAATTTCCTTATTCCACAGGTCAACCAAGGCATCAACAGAATCAACAATTCTAACAGCTGGAAAATCCCCAGAGCATTCAGGAAACCTTATGGATCAATTAGTCTCTGGGGACAGACCATTTTAATGGGTCTACCACCTACAGAGATTAGGAGATCCAGCAAATCTAAGCCCTATCACACAGTGACCTGTTCATGACAATGGGGTTGTTTTAAACCCCCACAGATGACCATCATTCTGACCAGCAAAAACTAGAGGAAGAGTGTGTCCTACTACATGTGGTCAGATATTAATTGAGACTGTCCCATTGTTGCTACAGATATCATGAAATCTTGAGGTGACCCTGGTAAGAGTGCCTTGGCATGGATATTAAGATTCCTTAATACATTTGGAGGAAATTAACACCACCTCTGAGACCACCTCCAGCAGCTCAAGCAAGGAGAGAGTTGGGCGGTGGGGTGGTCAATGCACCAATTGAATCCCAGTCCTGTTTTGTTGGCCTGTTGCAAGGTGTACACACTCAAACCTTGGAGACTGTTGGACAGAGTATCTCAATAGGGGAATGGACTTGCAATAGATCACTGTGACTTTTCCTCCCTGTCCATGAGATCTTGCCTCCTGTTGCTCCTGGAACCTAGTGGGCATTTACCATCTGCCTTGTCCAAGCCTCACACACTTGTTTATTCACTGCCATGCAGTGGCACAGCATGCTGGAAGTCTTGTTACTCTAGCATAAGATACTTACAGTGCATATCGACAGCAGCAGAGTAGTGCAGTACAAGGTCAAAAGTGAGCAGAGAGAGGATGGGGAAAGAAAAGGACAGGCTCAGTGACTCAGTATCCTGTTTACCATTCCAGGATCATGATTTATACCTGGATTGACTGGATTATCTTGGTGAGATCAGTGGCAAACAGGGCCAGCCCTACCATTAAGCAGAGTGAGACAATCACCTCTAGTGGCACATGCTGGGAGATAGCATCCTGGTGCTGGAAGAGAAACCAAAGTGGCATGCCCAGTTGCCCAAGTCATCCCTGCAAAGATAGACTGCAATTTTAAGGTACCATGGAGGATGTTGCATTAGAGCCAGTGTTGGAAAAAAGATCCAATTTGTTAGTCCAGCTTTTGTACATGGAATGGAGGGGGCACCATCTTGGGTTGTTGTTTTTTTTTTGACACTGGCAGCAAATGTCTTGAGTGAGCCCTGGCTGCAGACCTGCAATTCTAAATCCATTTAATTGGATGAAAGTGCCACTGAAGTTAACAAGTTAGTTAACTTTAGGTTTTGGCAGAAGGCCAAGAGAGACACCAACCAGGGGTACATCAGCTATCTGCTTATCCCATACTGAATTAGGATTTTGTTTTGACTCATAACTCTGGTTCAGTATTAATTCATACACACACACACATTTACAAAGACTGTAACTGCACTGCAGAAATAATCCAGTTTGACTACTTTAATTGCCATAGCTCAGTGCTATGGAATTCTGGGAACTGTAGTTTATTGTGGCACCAGAGTTCTCTGGCAGAGAAGGCTAAATGTCACACAAAGCTAGTTTCCAAATTTCCATAGCACTGGTCCATGGTAGTTAATGCAGTGTCAAACTGGATTATTTCTGCAATATGTATGCTGTCAAAGCCCTCCCATCTCATCAAATTGATATTCACATTTGATATATAAAATATCATAACAGTATATATTAACTTAATATTAGTTAATTCCAAGAAACATAATTTCTCAGAGTTTCTTTCCTATGTACATCTATCTTGTTTGTCCAGGGCTTGGAAAAAGTTACATTTGGACTACAACTCCCTTTATTCCCCAACCAGTGACCATGGTAGATGGAGAATTCTGGGTTCTGAGTTGTAGTCCCCCACCCAAAGGGGAGGATTCCATATTATAGTACCCTCCCCAAAAGTAAACACTATTACAAACTCTGCTTGCTAATTCCTGGGGAAGTACTTGTGTACATGTGTTGGACTTTGAGACATTACCTGTGCCCCATCCCAACAGATCTCTGAAGATTTTTTCTATGGCCTAAACCCAGAAGAGAAGGAATGTCTGGAGTACTTTCTGCAGACAATCAACACCTTAGATGGGGAGATCTTAAAAGATGATGATGAAGAGACTCATGAAGACATGGCAGAATGTCTAGGTGAGAGAAAATAGCTAGACCACTGGCTCTTATAACAAGTTCCTTTGCATCCTAGGCTCAAATAGCACCTGTAGCTATTTTTGATCAATATTACATGAATAATATTTTTTCTCACAATTTTGCTTAGCTCCATGGCCCCAGAAAAACATAAAAGTCTCTCTGCAAGATGTATATCTCTACTATCACTAAGCCTGTGGCTCTCAAACTTTGTTCCTCCAAATATTGCCAAGTGCCTCATTGAGTCCCTATGCCAGGAGGAAGGTGGGATGATGATGATGATGATGATGATTATGATGATGATGATGATGATAATAATAATAATAATAATAGGTATTTCAGCTTCCAGAATTCCTGGCCATTGGCCATACTGAAGTCCAAAACACAATGAGGATCAAAGTTTTAGAACTACAGTCCATGGCCCCTTGACCCCCAGTTCTACAATCCTCTCCAAGCAAATTGATCTTTAAATGGCAGTGTTATTTTTGGGTGACCTTCATTCCTACCACATAAAATAGTAGGAGGGCAGAAGTTATGTTTTGGACTACAGTTCCCAGGTTCCCCAGCCAGTATGGCCCATCAGTCTGACTATTATTATCTCTTCTTCTGTCTGTCAGCCTCTCTCTCTCTCTCTCTCTCTCTCTCTCTCTCTCACACACACACACACACACACACACACACGCATGCATGCATGCACACATGTGTTTGGTTGGTTATTTTAAATTAATATGTGAAAGTAAATTATCTGCCTGTTTTTGTTTGTTTGTTTGTTTGTTTGTTTTGCCTTCACATTTGCTGGGAGAAGCATAGTTGTGACATTAATAGTTTTACTGCAACAAATTCAGGTGCCAAACAACATATAACATGGCTCCACCTGACCGGACAGTGAAGAGTAGTTCAGAAGAATTTCCTCTCTTTGTTTCTTCTTCTTCTCTCCTTTTGCCTACCTAACAAATCTGGCTCATGCTGGTTGTGTTTCTGTACAGGTTCTAAGGACCAAACCAAGAGCACTGTTGACTCCAGAATGCAAGAAAGTACATCTCTGGAGGTAGTTCCAGCAAAACCTGTTTCTCCTCACCCAGCCACTTTTACAATTAAAACGACTGGATCCCTTCCAGAGGAATCTGGTGACATCACCCTAAGGAGCAAGCCTGACGCCAATTGTCCTAAAGGCATAGGTCCTCATAGACCAACAGACTCTCCTGCTGTGCATCTCAGGAAGTTTGACACAATCATGAGGTCAGGTGTCAATGTTCAAGAACTCCGTTCTCGCTTCCTACTTCACCATGACAGCTCCACCAATGCTGATAGGGAAACAACAGAAGACATTGCAGGAACAATTAAGCAACTAGGACCATTGCTTGGTGATCAAAAGACTGCTAAGGATGGAGGACTGTAGAAGCTGAACCTCCTGCGGAGAAACACAAGTGTTCCAAATATAAGGAGCCCACTAGTGCTATGGCTGGTCAGCAAACCCAGATTTAACCAAAAGTCCCATTGACATAGCTGAAGAGCCTTTCTAACAATAGTTACTGGCATTTTCTCCACAAATGTTTACTTTCCCTTTCCTTCTGTATCCCATTTTCCTTTTATGTTGTATTTTTTCCACACTGTATGCTGATAGTCTTGTCTATTTAAAATGTAAGCTGCTCTGGGAACCCTTCCAATTGTGCAGCACAGTATAAATGCTAACTCTAACAATAAAAGAGGTATGTGTATATGTCTGTCTCTCTGTGTACACCTTGATACCAAAGCTATAAAATGTAGACACTTGTCATGAATATTGTGGGGATGTATATTGTTGGTTCTGTGCTTTCAAGTCATTTCTGACTTATGGAGACCCTAAGGTAAACCTTTCTTGGCATTTTTCTTCAGAGGAGGTTTGCCATTGAAACTGAGAGAGTGTGACTTGCCCAAGGTCACCCAGTGGGTTTACATGGCGGAGCAGGGATTCGAACCCTGGTCTCCAGAATCCTAGTACAACGCTTGAACCACTATGCCATGCTGGCTTTCTTATGGCTCTCTCAATCGCATGCTGGCTGGGGATGTATATCACTGGGTTAATTAGTTTTAATTAATTTATGTGTCCACAGTCTGCGGTACCATCTTCAGTCACTAGATGTCAGACGTAATCTAACCAGGAAAGAGAAAGTTAGAAACAAGTCTGGGTTTTTAATTTCTTTACAGCTTCAAGTGCTGCCCTTCAAAATGCTGAAACAAGAAAAGTGAGAGATCTTCTGCATGATAAGGGAGTTGGTGATGGTGGGGAAAAGTAAGCAAAGGGAATGATTGAACAAGCACAAGAAGTGAGGGAAAGAAAGACCAGTAAAGCAGAAAGCCAGCAGGGAAAGAGAGAGAAAGCAGAAGGAAAAAAGGAATAATTAAAGTGTTTCTAATGTTAATCTTTGTTTGTTAATCTGCCAGTAAACACTAGGTAGTGTTACAAAAACATCAGTTTAATAAAAAAAAAAGTTGCTTCTGTATACAAGGTATTAGCTTCTGCAGGTCAGTTTCTGACTTCCAAATGGAACCAAACCAATCAACAGTTTTCATATACAGTTGTCCTTCCCCGTTTGTGGACTTTGAATCCGCGGCCTCGCTTTTCGTGGGAGGGACAAGTGGCTATAGTTAAAATGGTGCATGCACCCAACATGCCATTATTTTCAATGAGGGTTGAATATTTGCAAGCCGCTATTTTTGTGTGTGGGGGGGTCTGGAATGGATCTCCCATGAATTGGGAGAGGCAACTGTATGTTTATTTATGTGAACAGTAGATCCCCAGAACTTAAGAGGGGTTCTGGTGGTGTTTTCATCTGTGCTAGACTTCATAATATTAGACTTTAGAGTATTGCTTCCTGAATTCCTAGCACTGAATTTGTTTTGTTTAATTTGACTAAAATACAACCATCTCCTCCTGTATATAAAGAGTTTTTAGGTACGTAAGTATAACAATCTAGCCAGGCCAGAGTGCATTGGCTCATCATCTACTTATGAAAGTATAAATCCAGAATAATTGTGCCCAAGGACATAGTCTTCTGTTTTTATTCTTTAATGAAGATTTGGCTCAAGCACTTCTCTAGCATTAATGGGCCATTGTAGGGCCAAGAGCAGAAGTAAACGTTCTTGTCTGATTGTTTTGTACATATACTAACACACATATATATTAGCTTTCTTAATACAGCTTGTCACATTTTTCTTTCCTTTGGTCCTCTGCCTTATAAGAAAGCCATCTGCTGCAATTAGTTTGGAAACAGAGCAGAACAACAGCAGGTTTTTATATATTCAGAGCAAGAAGCTTTATTTTTTATTCATATCAGATAAGTGCAAACCAAGAACTTTTTCACATAGTTCTAATCCAAAAAACAGTCTTATTTACTTGTTGACTTCATTTATAACTGCCTTTCATTCAGGATGCTTAATACAAAATGTTTATCTCTTACATTCTCTCCAGCATTTCACACATGAAAACTGGGACACATGGCCAATCGACATCAGAATGTGGTCAAGAAATAAGGAACAAAGGCTTGGAGAGGCTGCAGCAGTTTGCTTTTGTCTGAGTCTACAGGGAAAGGCAAGGTTCCACCCTCTCCTCACCTCTCCTATCCACCCTGCAGAATAAATTGAATGCAAACTACAGTGGGTACTTCAGATTCACTGGTGTTAGGGGTACAGGACCCCCGTGAAAATGGAAAAACTACAAATAAAAAACATTGATTTTTTTTATCAGAGAGAAAACCTTTCTAGGAATCTCCAGGTCCTCCAGCACAAGTCTGTGGTCAACATCTGGTGGAAGATGACCATAAAATTGCACTGGAGGGCCTACAAATGCCTAGAGAAGTGTTTTCTTTAGGAATCTCTAGGTCCTCCAGTGCGAATTTTGGCGAACTCTGACCATAGAGTCACAGTGGAGGACCCATAGAGAATATATTAGTCAAATCCATGCTAATCAAACCCGCAAAAGTAAAAACTGCAAATGCGGAAGGGCGACTGTATTTTTGGACTTTGAATTCAGTTTGCAGCAACTGAAATAATATGAGAACCAAGAGGAAAGTGAAGAGAGAGAGAGAAACTGGGACATTTTAAAAGGAGTCACACCAGCAGCATGGGGTTTCTAGCCAAAGAGGACCCCAGAGTAGGGTTGCCAGATCTCAGGGTACTGGCTGGAATCCCCAATATTGGTGGGTCATCTCCATTCAACAGGCAGGAGTTCAAATTCCTCAGTTTTTGTGGTGTCATGACCAAATAAAAGCTAG